ACATTTTTATATGTGTAAATATATGGACAAATAAAAAAAAGGAAAGAAAGAAAAACTACTTAAAAGTATCTAGACCAAATATTTTCAGTATTTTTTACTATGCTTTTAAATATTTAATAGATTATTAGTAGATGCAAACACAGAAGACACTATTTCACATTTGCATGTTAATGAAAAAACCATGAATTATACATTATTTGCTGTGTGGAGTAATGGGAACAGTATTCATTTTTTATAGCTCTGAAAACTTAGGTTGTCTCCTGAAACGCACATCAAATCCCTCTGTAACGGAGCCAGAAAGGTCTGCAAGCTTTTTAAAACCATCTCCGGCAAAATGAGATAGATTTGTTTGTGCTGCTTTGCAACATGCTGGCGTGAAAGTTCATTTTAGACGAAATAGTTTTAATAATGTCATTACTAATGGATATTTGGTTGTCACTAAAAAAAAAAAAAAAAGAGGTTTTAATATGAATGTTGCATTTTAATAAACGGTAGAGAAAGCAAGTGGCCCTGAGTCAGCAGGAAGTGGTTACACACCGGAGAATGGCCTGATTGTGTTTGCTTCGTGCAGAACACTGCCCAGCCCAGAGCCGGTCCAGGAAGAAACAAGCGTCTTTATTCATATGATTAGGCTGCAGCTCAACAGTGAGATTCACACATTCCCCTATTATTTCCTGACCTTGTGCCAAAAACTCCCACTTACAGTAATAATTAGAATTAGCGATGCCAGTGCATGCCTCCCTCTCCCAACAAACAGTACAGAACGTGGTGCTTCCGAAGGGTCCAGCTAATGAAGATTTTCCAGACTCCCCGGCTGATACAGCTCACCCCCATCATGCCGCCGACATCTCCATGCTGCGGCAACGGCTCCAAGTGCCATCGCTGGGGCTGTGGGTCCCGCACTTTTGAAAGGGGCCACTGTTTCTTTCTGCGTCTCATTCAGTTCTAAGAAATTCATTTTGTTTTCCTGGTCGAGCACGAACGTGAAGCTGCTCCGAGCGCTGTCATTCCAGGTACGTGCGCTTGGAGTCGAGTACAGGGGGAGACTGTGATTACATCAGACGTCTCATCCCGACGCTGGCGTCAGCGCGGTGCCCACTGCCGGGAGCGGCGTGCGGGGAGAGCCCTGTGGAAGGTCCGTGCCCGGCGCCCATCCGAACCGCCCGGCCTCTCGCCGCGCTCGGCCGCAGGCACGGAGGAGGCGTCACAGCTGCGTTCGGGGACTGCTGTGGCACTGTGGTCACGACACGCCCAGGGAGTTCACCCTTAGGGCAGGACCTGATGGGGAATCAAAGAGCAATCACACGGTGTGGAAAACAAGCAGGATAAAAATAACCAAGACGTAAGAAATACATTTAACAGAAGAAATCTAACTGCTCAGCTAAGCATGACCTCAGCTCCTGGTGAGAGACCGAGTGAGGGTGGATCCCCAGAACCCAGACCGCGGCTGGGGTCGGCGCCCGGGGCCGTCCTTCTCACGGCGAGAGGAGAGCTCGGCTCCTCGGGTGCCCTCCCTGACTGTTGTCGTGAACCAACAATGGGATGGGTCCTGAGAACTCCACATGGCGACATGTTGGGGATTTCCGAGTTCATGGAACGAGCCCCGCGGTCAGTGGGTCACTTCTCTGCTGTGCTTTCCAGAGTGGTCTCCATGGCTTCACGCCGCACTGGGTGCCTGGCTCCCGGCATGGCCGGCGCATTCTCCTGCCGTCCCCTCCGTCCACAGTCACGGCTTGGGAACAGGCCAGGGTCCTGCCCTGTCCCAGGCCTCTTCCTGCAGGACCCTCCGAGTGGAAGGTCCCCCCAGATCCATACGTGCCTGGCTCCTCTTTGCCTGGTCACCTGTCACCTCTCCAGCTGGCCTTTCCCAGCCTCTAGCCAAAGTATCTTTTCACGCTCACCCAGTCTTTTCACAATCTGACGTCATGTGCTGCAGACGTGTCCGCCTGTGTGCTGCAGGGTCCCCGCAGGCCGTGTACTTCCTAAGAAGGGCCCACTGCCTGTCACATTCATGCTTTAATGTTGGCACCCAGGGACGTGCTCGGCCATAGCAGAGACTAGAGAACACTGCCCTAGTACAATGGCTCCCGATCGCTCTGTCCCCTGGCGGGCCAGGGTCCCTACGCTGTCTTCTCTCTCAAGATCATAAACAACGGTAGCAGTAATAATAAGTGAGCAAGCACTACTGTGTAAAGTGTTTCACACACTTGAACACATTAAAATCTCTAGAACTTTCACTTGAGTGGACTGGGAATTAGAGATGGAAAGCTTGTTGACGATCTCCCAGTGGGGGAGGGGGGAGGCACCCTCGTCGTATGCCATGCTCTGGCTCCCATGTCCCTGCCTGACACAGAGCCACACCCTGCAGACAGGGCCTCCTGCTGCTCCAACTCACCATCTCTCTTCCCTGGCATCTCCTGTCCTGGCATTGATGCCCTGGTCGAATAATCGGAGAGATAACTGTGCTGGGCCAGACTCACGTCCGCCCGTGAAGGGATGCATCTTATTGAAGGCTTCTGACACAAGCTCTTTGCGAAGGGGACAAGCCAGACTGATGGCCAGGATCACAGCCTCTGTGTGTGTGTGTGGGGGGGGCAGGTGTCATGTTAGCCTCATGAAGTGTCATGAGAGCTCTGTGACATATGTGCTGTGGTTATGCTCACTTTCCAAATGGGGAAACCGAGGCATGGTGGAGTATAAGAACCTGCCTAAGGTCACACTGGGAGCCAGTGACAGAGCTCAGACTGGCGGTCATCTGTGTGCTTCATCGCTGTTAAATCAACGGGCCGGTGAGCCAGGGCCACGGCTGGTTTACTTGGCCTCTGTATAAGGCTCACCTTTAAGAACAAGTCGTTTATCCAAGGAACATCTGGTATAGACGAGCCCCAAGATAAATCACTTTCCATTTTTGGCAATGTTTGGTAGTGCTTTCATCTCGTGATTATGTTTAATATTAGAATTATAAAAAAGGAGCATAGTCTTGTATGCATAATCTATTTTTCATTTGATACAGATGAGCCATCAAGCTAACCATATCATTAATCACTTTACTGTCTACATCACCATCGTTTTCTCCGCATTGTTTCTTTCTCTGTCAAAGAGGAACACGAAATAAAAACTGTGTCATAAGAAATCATCCAAAGAATTCACTGGCATTTTCAGTTTCCATTTCAAGTTTTTTGTTGTTGGTGGTGTTGCCTTTGTTAAGACCTCAAGTCACAGAGATTGTAGCTAGAAATACAATTTCATTAAGCCACAGTAGCTTGAATAAGCCAGGATTTTAAAAGGAAGAAGAAACAGTTGTACAAAACTCCTAAAGGGCAGGCAGTTCTACTGAGTTACTTCATGAAAACAGATATTCTTTTAGGAAAATCACCCAAAGGGAAGAAAAAAATGTGACAGTTAGAGATGTGTGGATCAGGCATTATAGTAATTAACCACCAAGTTTCCAGATGATAAGGCAGAAAACAAGCGATGTCTTGGACAAATTGCCCTCTGGAGAGAAAGGGGAAAAAGGATTTTGAGTTTGACATTACAACCTCATACCAGCCCGTTTTCTTCCCCTGCTGGTCCGAGGAGTCCCAAGCCCCCTCTGTAAATCATCAGCTCCCATCCGTTTATCATCTCTCCGCCCGGCGCACAGCGCTGTTCCGTGGAAACCGGCAGTAAACCCGGGCTCGGCGGACGGCGCTCCGGGCGCGGCGCTCCGTGTCCACTGCGGGGTTTCCGCTCAGGCTGCAGCGACCGCGTCCGCCCGCGGTGAACGCGAAGGTGTCCCAGCATGCGTTCCTCCACACCGGACCGTGCGTGACGTCGGTCACCCCGTGCATGTGAATCAAGTCTTGGGCGGCCTTGGAGTAGCAGAAGGTTGAAGGCCGCCCCCCCTGCTATTAGCACGGGCGGCTCAGTAGGCCTTGGGGGACGCATTCAAGGGTGTTTGTGTGCACAGTAGCACTGCTTCTGTTCAGCGGGGAGCTAACACGGGGCGACTCTCACTCCCCTTCCCGAGTGCTACCGAGGAGTTGGCTGTTCTTGCAGCAGAGGGAGTCGGACTGTGTGGAACAAAATGAAGAACTTGAAAGGCATGCTGTGTCGCCGTGGTTCTCGGCACAGGCTGCGACAATCGCAGGGACAGCTTTCAAACAGGCAGACTCTCGGCCCATCCGCCAGGATGCTGACGCGATCCGATCGTCCGGGGCGGGGCCCAGGCGCCAGTTTCCTCAAAGCTTCTTCGGGATTTGCAGTTGGCAGGTGGGGTTGGGGAGGGACGGCGAGGGGCGTCTGAGCTCCGAGGGGCCGTCAGCAAGTCCTCTTCCAGGGTCTTTGTGGTTTCATCCATCATACAGTTGTCATGACGATTAATTAATCCATGTGAGTGGCACTACCTTGATGAGCATAAACTGTTAAAAAAAAAAAAAAACAGTGATAAAGAAATGAAAATAATCTCTGAAATCGAAGAATCCTGACCGAGGTCCACCATAGATTCCAACATGAATTTTAGACACAGGGTACTGGCTGGCATCAGGCAGGTCCTTTGAGCTCTCTTCACCCATTTCCTGACCGGTAGGGTAGAAACAATATATTCTACCCGTTGCAGGAAGAAGACGGAGAAAAATAGCCCCAGGTTGTGGAAGTGTGAGGACTAAAAACAGCATATCTTTAAGGTACAATTTCAGCTCATTCTGTTCTGTGGCCTTTGGTCCCTTTAGAAGTCATTCTGAGACTACTGAGTTAATTTATGCAAGAGCCCAGGAGAAGTAGGGGCAGTTCCCTTATCTGCGAAGTCACTTTCTGTGGTTGTGGTTACTCGCAGTCAATTGTGGTCCCAAAATATGAAACACAAATTCCAGAAATAGGCAAACCATGACTTTAAATGACGTCCTGTTCCGAGCAGCAGGACAAAATCATGCAGCCCTGCTCAGTCCTACCCGGGACATGACTCCGCATCCAGCGCCCCACGCTGGAGTCTCCCTGACTGTTAACTAGTCCCTTCGTATCAGACTGTCGAGGTATCATGGTGCTTGTGTTCAAGTTGACCTCATTTTACTTAGAAATGGCCCGAGCACCAGAAGAGCGGTGGGGGACGCTGCGTTGCAGAAGGAAGCTGGGGAGAGCTTCCTGGACTGAGCAGGTGAGTGCGCAGAGGAAAGCCCGTGTGGGGGTCAGTACCACCGGGTTCAGGCTTCGCGTGGGGGTCTAGGAATGTATTCCCCACGGAGAAGGGGGGACTGCTGTAATTTCTGATCACCATGTTGTCATTACTGTGTTCTTATTATGCTCAATTTCTTCAACGTAAAATGAGAGTAGTGAACTAAATAATTTAAAAAATGTCCTCCAAGCACTAAAAATCTGTGATGAGCAAGCATTGTACAACCTTGTTATTTTTTGATTGTCGGTGAGGGTGTGTGAGTTTGAGTGTGTGCGTGTGAGTTTCATACACACGAACGGGAGGAAGGCCCGAGTTGCCCGGCACCCATCACTCTGCCCCGCACCGCCCTGGGAGAGTTCGGACAAGTTCGGGGCAGGCATCCCTTCCCAGTCTGGCCGCACGGGAGCCCCACCCACGCTGGTTCTGCGCCCTGTGGTAGGGGCCCAGATCTAGGTTTGTGTCAACCCAGGACACCAAGGAGGCAAGTCCACTGACTGTGGTCCTTCCAGAAGAGCCCACGAGGCCAGCTCAGTGCTGCCCCTGGGACTCCCGGAGGGACATAGGCCGGCCACCTCTTCAGGTCACTTGACTCTAAGCTCTCCTCCATTCCTGCCTTCATTTTTGGGGGCGGGGGTTGTTTTTGTTTTTTAATCCTCATCTGAGGACATTTTTGCATTTATCTTCAGATAGAGCAGGAGGGGAGAAGGGGGAAGAGAGAGAGAGAAGCATCGATGTGAGAGAGACACATCAACTGGTTACCTACCACCCACACAACCCCAACTCTAAACTGCAACCGAGGTACATGCCGTTAGCGGTCACCGAACCCGGGACTGACTCTCTGGTCCGCAGGCCGATGCTCTAACCACTGAGCCAAACCGGCCATGGCCTGCCTTCATTTGTTTTAATTTTTCTCTTAACTTTTCTCCATTTTTCTAGTCCTCCCTCTTTCCAATCAATGTTTCAGTCAACATCCAGAATAATTTTCTTAAATAAGTATCTGATCAAATGATCCTCTGGCAAACAAGCCCTACCATGAATTCTCAGTGCCTCTCGGGTAAGGTTGAAAGTCCCTGGGTAGCATGCAAGGCCTCCATAATCCGGACCCGATGTCCACTTGTTATATCTTGCTCCATCATCCTCCAAAACCTTGGATTTTAGCCACACTGGGGCAACTGTACTTCCCAGTGTGCCGGGGTGATGTGCCACGTCATACCTTCTTGCCTGCACCTGCGCCTTCCGTGCTCGGCACCTGCCCTCCGCCAACACCGGCTTCTGCCTCCTCGTGCTGTAAGACATGGGTCATCTTTGCCGGAAAGAGAACCGCACCCAGCTCATGCACTCAAAACCCTCACTGAACCACTGAGATGAATTTTCCCTTCGGGGCTTCTCTTCCTGCAAGATGGTGAATGACTCTGAGAACAGAGACACCACAGATGACGTCCCTTTGGTTTCCTGGTCCCCAGTGCAGAATGGCACGGAGCTGCTTAGTGAATGTTTGCTGAATGAACACACGATCCGGGCGTCGGAGAGACCAAGTCACTCAACTCACCGTTGTTATTATCATATTAGAAGTAAAACAGAAATCTGTGGATTCTTTCATAGGTAAACGACTGACTAGAGGTCTCCTTCCCGGCCTTCTGGAACTCTTGCTCCTGAGTGTGAACATTGACCGTGCTCTGTACACCGAGGCAGGCGCTGGGCTGCACCTATGAATCCTCACGACAACCCGGCGGGCCAGAGCCCATCTGCACTGTGACACAGGTGAGGCACCACAGCGCGGGAAGAGGAACTGTCCCCAGGATACTGTTTGGGAGTCAGAGCAGGGATTTCATCCCAGACCCCAGAGCCCACAGCCTGCTACCACTCAGCACTCCAGCCCTGCGGCCAGGCGACGAAAGCACCAGGAAAAGCAGGCATCAGAGACACGGTTCTAATCCCTGCTGGTTTTCATCAAGCTAGGAACTTTGTCTTGGTCGCTAGGACTCAGTCTCCCCTCCCACAAAAAGGGGGAGCTTAATCTGACATTCACTATGGTTCCTTCTGATTTATATTTTGCTAATCCTATCATGTGTCAAACTGAGCTCTGTAAGCTCAGTGGGAAAGGAAATCATTGTGTCTCTGACAGCCAAAAATCCATTGGCAAAATAGTGAAATAAGAAAAAAGAGCCACGCACCATAGAAGTGACCAGGGATGTACCGGGCTGCCCACCATGCACTAGGAACCCAAGTGACCCAAGTCCATGTCAGTGAATTTACCTTCTCTGCTTAAACCCGTTCATCATGGAAACAGCTGATACACTGTTCATCTTTGTTAGGCCCTCTTGGGTTTCTACCCTTCATTTCTTGCCAGATAAACAAACAAAGTTACTTTCCAGAGCTGCTAGGCGTCCCTCAGGTGTCGGAGCTGCAGAGGAAAGCTACTTTGTAGCTCGTTTCTCTGAAGGTGAGTTCCCCCCAGCCTCACTAAGGAAGATACTAAACACATTTTATCTCAGGGATGAATAAACATGACTTGGAGAAAAAATATGACTCCAAGAGAAAGCAGCTTTTGTTATCCAGTAGTTTCATCCCAATCACCCTAGTGATGAGATGGCAGTTGTAAATAGTACCCAAACAAGTGTGTGTGTGTGTGTGTGTGTGTGTGTGTGTGTGTGAGAGAGAGAGAGAGAGAGAGAGAGTGCACAAAGAAATTAAGTGTTTACAGAAAAAGGTCCCTTTCCAGTGGAGATTTCTTAAATTTGTGATTTATTAGAGGTTAGAAGCCCTGGCTTTACACCATGGTCTTCGGTACAGGCTCGGCTCCTAACTAACTACATGTCCCATAAGCCTCATCTCTCCGAGACTCTGTCCCATTATCCATAAAGTGAGTAGCTGGACAGTAATGACAGCCTAAGTTCCTTGTCGTTCTAATAGCCTCTGATTCTGATTTCCGCCAAGGCTGCAGAATTTGGATTTACTCTGCTCACCCAGACTGTACCACAAAAGTCTCTTGTTTAAATCAATTTCATACAGCTCAGGATTTCATTCTCAGTGAAAAGACATGGAAAGAACAACCACCTCTTACTCCCCTCAGTGGAGCTGAAGGACGAGAAACCGGAGCGCAGGCGTTTGTCTTGGGGGAGGTGTGCCCACCCTGGCTGCAGCCTCCGCCCCGGTCACAGCTGCACCAGCTCCTGGAGGGAGTCCATCGCCTCCCTGCACTGTGTCCAAGTTAGGTTTGAATAAGGAAATTGCAAAGAAAACCCAGAAAGAATATTTTTGTTAGAAGTTAACAAATTACTATAACTAAATGGTTGTCTGGACTCTGAATCAACTTTATTTCTTGTTGATTTTTTTCTTTGCTCTTAAAAAAAAATCTCATTTCTAGCTCATTCATTCTTATTATTCCATACATTAGAAGTCAACTGGTAATTCACACAAATTAAATGAGCGATTTTGCATTTAATTTACTGATGACAAACTCTAGGAGTCAGCAGTTTTGCTCTGATAACCTTTGAAATGTATTAATTCCGGGTGTGATTTACATAGGTCCCCACTGCCCCGGCTGCATTCTCCACAGAAGGAAGGCCCCATGGTTTTTCAATTTGTTACCTAATCAGCACAATATATTCCTCCTTTTCTATTGGCTCCTAAATTCGAGACTTCAATATTTCAAGAAATTGCACCAAGAAATCTCACATGGTTTTCCTATTTTTGTGAACCTTTAAGGGACTAAACAGAGAAAATCATTCCACTGAATAGGGGCTGCTCACAAACACAGTGGTCTTAAGATAATTGCATTCGAATGAAATTTTTTTCAAATCACAATACATGGACATTATAAACATACCCCCACAAATCCACCTAAAGTTCCTAATATCAATATGTCAAAATCTCCGGGAGCTACGCCGTGGCAGATTCTGAGCTCAAAGTCAGTTCCCTCAGGACTGCTGAGGCTGCTGGTCAACCTGCCTCTCCCCGTGTGCCCCCTCGAGCTCGATGCTGGGAGGACATTCTCCCCAGGCTTCCTTGTCTCTGTTGTCATCTCCAGGCCAGAGGACCCCAGATACAATGGGGGTGATTCCAAAGTTCAGAAAACTTGGCTTGTTAGACCTCCACTTTTTGCAAAAACTATGATAACCATATACTTTATATATAGTCAGACCTATGGTGAAAAACAAATAATAAACCCCGAAAAATGACTGAATGACCAAACCAACCCATCAGAAACTCTCCTTCAGAATTCCAGATGGCTTTGGAAGTGTCTGTCATGGCTAAAGGCAGTGACATCTAACCATGAATTGAAAGTGCAAATGTGCTATTTTTCCAAACTCAATTCAACCAAGTGCTTGTCTCGGGGAGGAAAGATGGCAGTCAGGGTCAGGAACTGCAGAGTGCCCACCACGGACATGGTGGCCCCACCAGTGTGAGGACCTTCAGCTGAACCTGGATGGTTGACAACAGGGGATGAGAGTTTGGGAAGAAATTAAAGTGTACTCGACGTTTTATACTGAACAAGTGGAAAGAGGTCTGGCCATTCGAGTAGAAATATCCGCTTTCGAATATGCTTCAGAAGCTCAACAGAAAGAACCCTGTGGGTCCTGCCTGGGTAGCTCAGTTGCTTGGAGTGTCATTCCCTTTCTCCAAGGTTGCGGGTTTGATCCCCAATCAGGGCACATACAAGAATCCACCAATGAATGCGTAAATAAGTGGAACAACAAATCCATGTCTCTCTCTCTTCTCCTCCTTCCCCTTCTTTCTTTCTTCTTCTTTCATCCTCCTACCACCTCCCTCTGCCTCCCTCCTCTTTCCCCTCCTCCTCATCCTTCTCTCTAAATATCAATAAATTAAAAACAAAAACCGAAAACAAAAGAACCCTGCGTGGGAACTCCTCTTTAGGGCTGTTCTGGGGAAGCGGTCGGATGCAGAGTGGAAACAGGACACCGGCAGGGGCGGAGAGCCAGCCAGCGGGCTGCGGGGACGGAGCCGCCCGCACAGTCGCCCTCTTACACCTGTCCTGTCCGTGCTTTCTCGTGCTTGGGTTCGGACACGGGATCTGCGAGGTAAACATATACGCTGTATGCACATTCTCTTCATGACAAAACACGGCATTATAACATAAACTGCAAAACAGTACCTATATGTTACTAAGTTTATTTTTTCATTTCAGTAGGATTCTTATCGAATACAGCTGCAGAGGTGAATGTTTACATTTTCTTTGTATACTGCTTTATAAACAATCTGGTACCTTTTCCAGAATGTTTATTTTATTTTGAAAGAGGCCCAGGCTTTATTTATTTGCTGATATTCTGCGGCACTTAAGCCAAACTCGGTAGTTTTTTATTTCTTTCTTTTTTTGTAGTTTGCATTTTCTGGTTTGGTTGCTATTCTGAGTGAATGTTAGAAATGAAGATTTCATTTCCCACTGTCCAAATAAACTCTCTTGATTGATTACTATCCTTCCCTCATTTTTTCATTCTGTATTTTGTGTTCTTACATTTCCATTCTGATTCCATAGAGAATCAAAGATTGCAATTTACACTCAGGTTAACTCGAATCTGTACTTTGTGAAGACAATGACTTTGTCCCGAAGTCCTCCGTTCCCCTCACGGTTTCTCCAGTTTCTAGCACAGTGTCTGTCACAGGGTAAGCCATCAAAACCTGTTTCTGAAGGAATTAATTATTAAAAGCACTGTCAGGCTCGACTGACCCGCGTCTTCCCGGAGGCCTGCGCCCGGGTAAGCAGGGGAGGTCTGCCCCGCGCCCTGAGATCCAGCTAATGAATCCTGTCCCCAGAGGGAGGTGGAGGTCACTTAGCTTCAGCTCTCGCTGTCCCAGGAGTGGTGTGCGCAAGTGCAGGGTCTCAGCCTCCTCCTGGACATCTCATCCTGCTGCTGCTAAATGGACCTGGTGCCCATTAATTCCTAAGATGTGGCGATGCACAAGCTGTAGCCGGTAAGTTCACCCATCATAATGTGTATAGAAAGAAAATCTGAAAAGCAAGATCACTTCTTTAAAACCACATAAGTGACTTTTCAAGTGTTACTGAGAAAGCAAACAATATCAGCAAAAGAAATTACAGGTAAGCTGCTAACCCAGGTAATTATTTAAAGATTGTACACACATTCTCAGCCCAGTGATCTGGATATTTATCTCACTGAAAAATTAATATATGCATGAACTAAACTGTATAACAGCATTTGTTTTACATATATATGTGTGTGTGTGTATGCCTCATGATGAGCATTTGAAGTATTTGCTTTTTAAAGTTACATATTCTAATATACTATCCAATTACTCAATACAGAAAAGGATATCTGATACCAAAGTATTTGTATGTTATTGAAACTCTCTCTTATGCAGTGTGTATGTATTTATTAGGGACTCTTTAGCCTCTGGGATGTCTCACGTGCTACATTTTGGATACATCTCCATGAGCCTGCAATTTGTTTGCTATGGTAATTGAAGTCAATGTTTAAATTAAATGCCTGGGAAAGAAACATGTTTCTTTGTTATGAGGATTCAGGTCATGGTTCGCAATGAGAATGCTGCACATCGTTCCAGGCTCCGCCTCTGGCGTCCACGCCGTCCTGGGCGTCCTGCTCTGCTGTGTGTCCGTCCTGCTGACACTCAGAGAATCGTCTGCTAAGTTAATTCCAGGAGTCAAATCAGGAGAGTTCTTGAGTGTATGTATTTACTAGACAAAACTCTGGTTGAAACTAGCACAACTAATTCTTGCCGTAACACAAAAATGTTTCTAAGACTTAGACATTAAGACACCTGGCCCGCCGTTCCAGACGAGTCGGATGGCCACGTCTGTTCGGGACTGGGAGCAAGGGCAACCCCAGGCCCCTTACGGGCAATTCCACGCTCTGGCCGCCGAAGTCATTTTACAACTCTGAGCCGAAACAAGCATGTTCGAGAGAGACCACAGCCGAGAGAACAGGGGAGCCCGCCTGTGCCATGTTTCGGGGCACGCAACGTGATGCCAAGGGTGTGGAAGGGTGAGGTAAGTGCCACGAACACAAGCCATAGGGCTTCGCGGGAGCTATGTCTCAGGGATAGAGCAAAGGTTGCTTTCCTGTGTGAAGACCCTACTCATCCCGCAAGGACCCACTTGCTAACCTTGGTGAGTTACTTAGCCCTTCTGTTGAGTGGGGAGGGCAGCGTCTCCCCACTAGGGCTGTCTGAGGACTTAAACCATGTAACGTGTCAGAGCACCTGGCCTGCGGCCCGTGTTTCCTGAGTGCTAGGTAATTTTATTATCCCGTTCTTCCGGAGCAGGGGATCAGCACACTGGCAGTGAAGGGTGAGACTATCAGTATTTTAGTCTTTGTAGGCCGTATGGTCCCTGTTGCAATTACTAGACTGTTCCATTGTGGTGCAAGAACAGCCACAGATGATCCCTAAACCAATGGGCACACTCCTGCCCTTCCAGAACAGGCAGTGGGTGGGTCTGACCCTGATGCAGGGTTAAACTCTGCAGCCACCTCTGTGATCCCCCGTTGCGACCACCCCCTTCTGGTAAATACTGATGGCTGCACCCATCCCCTTTCATCGTCACATTTCCTATTTAAAGACACTTCTGATGGGTTACTATTGCTTACACACTGAGTAATTCTAACATCACCCAGTACTTACAGTGTCTCATTTTTACAGCACTTCATATAAATATATATATATTGATATTTTAATTACAGTTGTCCATGTTCAGAGCAGCATCGGAATGTGAGCTCATAAAACTTTCCCTGCTACTCGATTCTTTTCTTTCCCAGACTCCACTTCTCTTCTATGCATTATCTTTCCACATCTCCCGTGGTCTCTTGCAAGCCCCCTAGGTTGCAATTTACCTGCACAGTTAAGCTGTTCCCTGCCTTTTATTTATTTATTTATTTATTTATTTTTTAGAGAGAGAGAGGAAGGGAGAGGGAGAAGTGTTGATGTGAGAAAGAAATATGGATTATTTGTGTCCCGTACCCACCTTGACTGGGGATTGAACCCGCAACCTTCCGGTGCATGGGATGATGTCCAACCAACTGGGCCACACCAGCCAGGGCCCCCTGCCTTTAATCTTGATGAGTTTCTGCATGTTCCTCCTTTATTAGGCTAGATTTTCAGTCCCCTCTCTCCTTGCCAGCAGATGGCATATTTATAGAATTAGAAACCCAGGAAATCCAGCTGCCTAGAGGGAACCACCCTAGAGGTTGTCCCTACTGGGCTCCT